TCACTGGTGTACTTATTTATAATGTTCACACTAGTGTAAATATTTGCAATGTTCACTGGTGTACTTATTTATTATGTTCACACTAGTGTAAATATTTGCAATGTTCACTGGTGTACTTATTTATTATGTTCACACTAGTGTAATATTTGCAATGTTCACTGGTGTCTTATTTATAATGTTCACAACTAGTGTAAATATTTGCAATTTTTCACTGGTGTACTTATTTATTATGTTCACACTAGGTAAATATTTGCAATGTTCACTGGTGTACTTATTTATAATGTTCACACTAGTGCATGACTCACGAAATCGTAATGACTCGATTGCAAACAAACCATACTACGGGTGGGGATAGAACCCGCGATCAGAGCGTCTCTCTGATCGCGGGTTTCTATCCCGCACGTGGTATGGTTTACTAGTGTACATATTTATAATGTTCACACTAGTGTACGTATTTAAAATGTTCACTAGTGTACGTATTGACTTCCTCCTTGACCACTTCCTGACCCCCTCCCTCCCTCCCTCCTGGCCTCTCCCCACCCTCTTCCCCCTCCCTCCCTCCCTACTTCCCTCCCTCCCTCCCTACTTCCCTCCTCCCCCCCTGGCCCCCCTTCCTCCTGGCCTCCCTCCTTCCCTACCTCCATCTTTCCCTCCCTCCCTCCATCCTGGCCTTCCTCCCTTCTGCCCTCCCTGCTACTCTCCCTCCTCTCTTGGCCTCCCCACCCCCTGACCTCACTTCCTTCTGTCCTTCCTCCCTCCAGGCCTCCCCCCTCCTGGCCTCCATCCCTCCTGGCATCCCTTCTTCTCTCCTGGCCTCCATCGTTACTGGCCTCCCTCCTTCTCTCCATCCTATCCTCCCTTCTTCCCTCTTACCTGGCCTCTCTCCTTCCCTCCATCCTGGCCTCCCTCCCTCCCTCCATCCTGGCCTCCGTCCTTCTTTTCATCCTGGCGTCCCTTCTTCACTCCATCCTGGCTTCCCTCCTTTCCTCCATCGTGGCCTCTCTCGTTCCCTCCATCCTGGCTTCCCTACCTCCCTCCATTCTGGCCTCCCTCCTTCCCTCCACCCTGGCGTCCCTCCTTCCTTCCGTCCTGGCCTCCCTCCCTTCCTCCATCCTGGTCTCCTTCCTTCCCTCTATCCTGGATTACTTTCTTCCCTCCATCCTGTCCTCCCTCCTGTCCTCCATCCTGACCTCCCTCCAAGCCCATGATGATTCTCTTCAAATCGCTTGTGCTCTCTAGGCTGGAATACTGCTCTTCACTAATGATGTACACCTCAAATGATGTAGTTGAAATTTTGGTGGTAAAGATCGAAAACCAAAACTTTGTCATTGTGGAACTTTGTCATTGTGGAACTTTGTCATTGTGGTAGTATTCAAGCCTCCAGATGCAACTTCCCAGCAATTCGAGGACCACTGTCTGGAAAATCTCCTAACTCTTGCCCCAAACATCTTACTACTAGGAGATTTCAACCTGAGACACCTAAGATGGAAGAGTATAGCAAACGATGTTTAAGCAGAGATCACCCCAGGAGGCAACATACATGAAAATTCACACGCACACGAACTATTAAATCTCTGCAACAAATTCGCCGTAAACGAGCAAATAGTAGAGCCTCCAAGACTAGAAAATACACTGATCCTCATGTTCATTAACAATGATGATCTGATACGTAATATAACTGTATCAAAGATAATTCACTCAAACCACAACATAATAGAGGTACAGACATGTATGCACAGGGCTCCAGACCAGCAAAATGTAAGCAATCATGAAGGTTTCTTCACGAAATTCAATTTCATTAACAAAAACATACGTTTGGATCAAGTAAACCATGTGCTAAATGAAACAAGCTGGGAAGATATCCTAAACAACACGGATCCGAACATTTGCCTTACAAAAATGAATTGTGTGGTTCTTGAGATCTGCTCAAGACTCCATTAAGAAAAAGAAAGAGAAGATGCAAACTAGAAAGAGAGAGACGTTCCCTATGCAGACAAAGGTGAAGAGTCACAGAGCTGCTGAGAGGGGTCAATATATCTGAAATACGAAGGGAGGCACTAGTCAATGAAATTGTAAATGTGGAACTTAAGCTGAAGGAATCTTATAGGAGACAAGAATCACAGGAAGAACTAAAAACCATAAAGAAAATTAAAAAAAAATACTTTTTCTCTTATGCCAAATCTAAGGGAAAAACAACATCCAGTATTGGGCCACTAATTAGGCAGGATTGGATATACACAGATGATAGCCAAGAAATGAGTGAGATACTAAAGTCCCAATATGACTCAGTGTTCAGCGAGCCACTGCCCACTCTGAGGGTCGACAATCCAAATGAATTCTTTATTCATCCCAAAAATCTCGGATATTATTCTAACTCCACAAGATTTTGAAGAGGCAATTAATGACATGCCCATGCACTCTGCCCCAGGCCCAGACTCGCAGAACTCCATGTTCATCAAGAATTGCAAGAAACCCCTATCGCGTGCCTTCAGCATTTTATGGAGAGTGAGCATGGGCATAGGGGTCATCCCACACACACTAAAAACAACAGACAGAGCACCACTCCCCAAAGGTGGCAGTAAAGCAATTGCAAAGAACTACAGACCAATAGCACTAACATCAAATATAAAAATCTCTGAGAGGGTCCTAAGAAGCAAGATCGCCAACCACCTAGATACCCATCAATTACACAATCAAGGGCAACACGGGTTTAGAGCAGGTCGCTCCTGCCTGTCCCAGCTACTGGACCACTATGACAAGGTCCTGCATGCTGTAAAGGATAAACAAAATACAGATGTAGTATACACAGACTTTGTAAAAGCTTTCGACAAGTGTGACCATGGTGTAATAGCACACAAAATGAGGGATAAAGGAATAACGGGAAAAGTTGGTAGATGGATCTATAACTTCCTGACAAATAGAACACAAAGAGTAATAGTAAACAGAGTAAATTCCCAGGCAGCCACGGTAAAAAGCTCTGTTCCACAAGGCACAGTACTCGCTCCCACTCTGTTCCCCATCCTCATTTATGACATAGACAGAGATGTAAGCCAAAGCTCCGTGTCTTCCTTTGCGGATGACACTCGAATAACCATGGCAGTGACCTCTATCGAAGACACCTCGAGACTCCAAGCGGACATCAACCAAATCTTCGAATGGTCCACTCAAAACAATGTGAAGTTCAGCAAGGAGAAATTTCAACTACTCAGATATGGAAAACTTGAAGAAATTAAAAATGTCAGGGTATACCACAAATTCTAACCAAACAATAGAGCGGAAAAAGCAATGTGAAGGACCTGGGAGTGATAATGTCAGAGGATCTCACCTTCAAAGACCACAACAATGTATCAACCTCATCTGCTAGGAAAATGATGGGATGGATAATGAGAACCTTCAAAACTAAGCACGCCAAGCCCATGATGATTCTCTTCAAATCGCTTGTGCTCTCTAGGCTGGAATACTGCTGTACACTAACGGCCCCCTTCAAGGTTGGGGACATTGCAGACCTGGAGAGTGTACAAAGAAATTTCACGGCACACACAAGTGCTATAAGGCAATTAAACTACTGGGAACGGTTGAAGGGCCTTGATCTGTATTTCCTGGAACGAAAGAGAGAGAGATACATGATAATGTACACTTGGAAGGTCCTGTAGGGATTGGTACCAAACCTGCACACGAGAATCACTCCATATGAAATCAAAAGACTCGGCAGGAGATGCAACATTCCCCCAATGAAAAGCAGGGATGCCATGAGTACACTGAGAGACAACACAATAAGTGTCCGGGGCCCAAGGCTGTTCAATTGCCTTCCAGCATACATAAGGGGGATTACCAATAGACCCCTGGCTGTCTTCAAGAAGACACTGGACAGTACCTGACCTCCCTCCTTCCCTCAATCGTGGCCTCCATCCTTTCCTCCAACGTGGCCTCCCTCCTTCCCTCCATCGTAGCTTCCCTCCTAACCTCCATCGTGGCCTCCCTCGTACCCTCCATCGTGGCCTCCCTCCTACTCTCCATCTTGGCCTCCCTCCTACCCTCCATCCAGGACTCCCTCCTACCCTACATCCTCGCCCCCCTCCTAGCCTCCATCCTGGCCTCCCTTCTACCCTCCATCCTGGCCTCCCTCCTACCATCCATCGTAGCCTCCCTTCTACCCTCCATTATGACCTCCCTCCTACCCTTAATCCTGGCCTCCCTCCTACCCTCCATCCTGGCCTCCCTCCTACCCTCCATCCTGGCCTCCCTCCTACCCTCCATCCTGGCCTCCCTCCTACCCTCCATCGTGGCCTCCCTCCTACCCTCCATCCTGGCCTCCCTCCTACCCTCCATCGTGGCCTCACTCCTACCCTCCATCGTGGCCTCCCTCCTACCCTCCATTGTGGCCTCCCTCCTACCCTCCATCCTGGCCTCCCTCCTACACTCCATCGTGGCCTCCCTCC